CAGACCAGCGTTGCAGGAGTCTAGCCACTGCACGCCAGTGGCCCTCATGTTCGGTCGGGAGATCTGAACCCCAGTGGACTTGGTGTTTGGACTGCCTCCTGAGCCCGAGATCCCTGGGGGACCAGAGCTCGATTACTTCCAGCAGCTGAGGGAGCGCTTGGGCTCGGTCCACCAGCTGGCCAGGGAGGCTCTGGTGGATGCTGGGGCCCGACAAAAAAGGGCTTATGACATGAGGGCCCATGGACCTGTGTTGAGGCCTGGGGACAAGGTGTGGGTCTACTGCCCCCAAAGGAAGTGGGGACAGTCACCCAAACTGGCCCAGCACTGACAGGACCCCGGTGAGGGTTTGGATCAACTGTCTGATGTTGGTTTCCGGGTCCGCGGATGCCGAGACGGGGTCGGCGTGTGGTGCTACACAAAGACAGACTGGCACCATACGACCCGCTGGCCCCTGGACTAGAGACAGAACCAGACCTGGAGGACAGCCCCAACTCTCCTCTCCAGGCTAGTGACTCTTGTGGTACGGGGGGACAGTCCGATGGTGAGGATGGGATCACCCGGCGGCCAGGACGTACGCGCCGGGTCCCAGGACATTTAAGGGACTTTGTGTGTTAGACGTTTGAGGGTTGTGGGGGCACTAACCCTCTCGGATGGGGGCTATGTGGTGGCCCTGACCAGCCGCTGGTGTTCATGCTCTGTTCTGTGTTGAGTGGGTGCAGCCCTAAAGTCAAAGCAGTGTTTGTATTGGTTGCCACTATTTTCTGGGAATGCTGTGCTGTGCTGTCCAATGTGGGGTTTAGGGAGGGACAGGTGTGTGAGGGTATAAGAAGGGTAACAGGTGGGTGTGTGCACCAGTTGGCGTGGAATATGGGATGTCTGGAGAGAGTGTTGCTACTGCTTTTCTTTTACTATTCATTTTTCCTGTGAGCACACGGTGCCAGGTATATGGCAGTTTCATTTTGCGTTCTCTATTCTGTTAAATAAAACCCAAGAAAAGACAGAGAAGGTGTTCTCCTCATTGTCAGCCTAGGTGCCAGCACACAGCTGGATAGTTAGATGTCCCAATATAGGATAGGGTCAGACCGGCTCCCCCTCATCTGAACCAGAGGAGCGCCACAATATGTTTTCATCAAGCAGAAGGAAGTCAGATTGGTCGCAGAATGAATCGCCAGTGGTAGGTTATTCTACAGTTTAGGAGCTGCTAAAGGCCCTATCGCTCCAAGTCTGGATCTAGGTACAGTCAACAGGAGTTGGCTGGCCGACCTGAGATCTAATAGAAGTATAAATATATAAGAGCTCAGAAATATAGGGTGGGGCAAGATTAGGCAATGCTTTAAAAACAAAAAGCAGTAGTTTAAAGCTAATCCTTTGCTGAACAGGTAACCAATGAAGAGAAGACACGATAAGGGTTATGTGGTAAATTATGCCCGTAAAAGACACGAGCAAATGCATTTTGAACAGACTGAAGCCGGAACAACATCCATCCATCCATCCATTTTCCTCCGCTTATCCAGAACCGGGTCGTGGAGGCAGCAGTCTAAGCAAAGATGCCCAGACTTCCCTTTCTCCAGACACTTCCTCCTCCGGGGGAATG